GACGTATCAACAATGTGGTTATTAGCGACTTTCTCAAACGAATACGTCAGGAGAAAAATACAACAGTAAAATTTGCAAACTTACAGAAAAAACAATTCAAAAGAACAGTGAAAATGGAAAGAATATTACTAATACTTTCAATGGTAAAAGAATTGAAGTATTCGTGATTGCTAATAATTTTGTGGGGGCTTTTTCTGTTAATATCTTTCATTAAGTCCATCAGCCCTCAAAACTAGGAGAGACACACAAGGCAGTAAATAAACATTTAAATTAATAAATTTCCAGAGAAACGCATTGGGGAAAGGTCATGTTACAATGTAACTGTCATTAACATATCAAATATTTTCGCGATATACCAATCTGAATTTTCGGTATTTCATTACAAACGTATTTATACTACCAATACTTCTAAGCCAATCACATCTTATATGAGAAATACGAGAACGTGGAAATGAATAATGGAACGTATTCATGGAAATCATTTCACAATTCCATTCCCAGCGCATGGACACGTTTACTGCGACGTAATTATTAGCTTCGACTGTAATATGCAAATACTTTAAAGCGTTCAAATCGTTGAAATTTCTCTAAGAGTTTCAAATCCACTTTGGTACCATCACGCATTAACAATTGTAAAAAGGTATGTTATTAAAAATACGAGTACTTAATTCACTTTCCAAAATACAAAACACATTTTCCAAATTTAAATTCATCGCTGAACATCTCGGCGAAATGTCAAAATGGAAAGAATATTGGTAATATTGAGAATGCTAACAGGATTGGAGCAAGAGTAATTGTTACTTCCCGTATACATACGTTTAGTTCGGAGTAATATACATAGTATAGAGAAGGTTATGTAATGTTGAGGAAACTGATTTCGAGATTTCAATGGAAATACACGTTTTACAGTCTCCCGACACTGAAAAGATTTTTTTTTTCTTTTCCCCAAAACGTTCGCCTGTTTCTCCGTCGGGTTGTGAACACCACAAGCGCCTAAACCATACGTGCGATATTTTTAAAATTGAAGAAACCTATGTCCATCTGACTCGATCCGAAGCATTGAGATTTGAAAAAAACATTCTTTAAAATTTGGGGGTGCTTTACATTAAGCCCCCAGGACATTTTCAATATTTTCTCAAACACGGCTCAAATTTTGTTAAAATTTATTTTTAACATATAATAAAATGCACTTAAAAAGGTGGCATAGGTTCTATTTTCAAGAAAATTTCAAAAATTTGAATTTTTCCGCGTCTTTCCACATCTACAAAATTGAAGATTGAAGAGAGTTTTCTTTCATGTAAAATTTGTTCATCCATTAAGATCCTGAACATGTTTTTAAACTTTTAGTAGTTTTCGCGCAATACTGAGAGCAATATGTGTAATATTAAAAACTAACAATAATACGATTTTCTGAAAATAAGCTCCAAATTTTTTCTTTATCCTTTTGGTAGAGAAAGTGCAAAATTCACTCTATAAGATGACATAAACGCCACATTGCTCTATTATTATGTTGCTTCAAATATTACAAAAATGTAATTTTTTACTTGTCTCTCACGTCGTTAATATTTATACTAGCGGTAATTTGTTTACATAATTATATTTCTGAGTACTGGGCTTAATAAGGCTTAAATAATGTCAAATTATTTTTCTTGAAAACTCAATCATTTTCTGTAAAAACTGGCTCAAAATTCCACTTATAGAGAAACGCCCAAAGGCCTTTTTCTAAAAAACGAGTCAAAATGTTTCTTGAAACTTTTCGTATGGATAGTGCTTATTGCACTTTTTAAGATACCATAGAATTCATTTTTCTGTATCCTTTGTTTCTTTCAAAAATTACACAAATGTAATTTTTTAAAGATCTCTCACACAGTTAATATGCACATTTTCAGCAATTTGTAAACACTATTGCATTTGTGGGTTAAAGGGCTTCAAATGACTTCTAACGTTTTTCGAAAACTCAAAAATGTTCTGTGATAAAGAGTTTCAACTTTCGAATTTGCAGTAGCGCTTAAACGCCATTTTCTTAAAAACGGCTCAAAATTGTTCAGTAAAAATTGTCATTTAGGACGAAGTTCTTTAACATAAATTAAAGTAGTATTTTTGTTTTACTGTAAGGAAACAAAAAATTGGGATTTTTTAAAATAAAATGTACTTTGGGCGGCGATAGATGGCAGCTGGCAAGAGTATACGCAAAGTCCGAATATCTGGCCAAGACCAAAGGAAATATAAAACTAATAGGGGAAAGTGTGTGCAATCCTGTTACACCACTAGTTCGTTGCCAGGGTCTGGCAAGAAGAAATTCAGCGTCTAAAATTCGCCATCTTCCGGAGCACGATTACAATACGTTCCCTTCTAACATTAGTAAGTGCGAGAAAGTAACATTTAACTATTCTCTTCCAACATAATATTTTCTACTTTAAAAATTTTGTTTTCTTCAACGCGAAGTTGCATATTAGAGTTCCAACTATTCGGAACCACTGGCTCCACAGAGGTGAATACATTATGCGAATGGGCTTTAAAGTGTCCTTAAAAACCTAAATGAAGAGTATTCTAGAAAAGATGATGTGGTATGGCGGCGAACATCTCAAAGTGTTCTCAAAACACGATGATGGATGCGGGAAGAGCATGACTTTCCTCCCCCTTTCGAATCACATAAGCCAAATTCACAATGCGCGTCAGCAAACTGTGTTCACATACATTATCGCATGTGTTGTATCGCAGTGCGGTGAAATGTGGTGAAGTGAAGTTTGTTGAAGTGGAGTTTTATGAAAGATTGCACGGTGAAATGTTCATGAGATTTGTAACGTTTGTAGAGTTTGTATAGTTGTTAAGTTCTGTAATGTTAAGTTAGTGTATTCTGCCACCAAGTTCTCACACTTAATTGCAGAATTATTAATAAATTTCATCTAATCTAATTAAGAATACCCCATTAAACACTGTAAAAATACCACTAACACGAACGTGAGAACGAAACTTTCGTGGTGCTGGAATTCCGGAAATGCCAAGGGCCTCTGCCGGCAACCTCCTCTTGCGTGGCGGCTCGGAGCATCCAACACGCAGCGAATTGCTCAGTGGGCGAAGCGCCTCTCCACTGGCTCGAGTTCACCTCCGCGCTCACCGCCCACGCGACGCATTCCGCTCACCCAGGCACGACGGTGGCGGTGGCGGTGGCGGTGGCGGT